AAAATAAAAGCAGTGTGCAAACCTTGACTTTGAAGTTGATGTCACTCGAGATACAGAAATGCACGCATCTAAGTAAAAGAGTTTGTTGTAGGCATAACAACTTTTATAGGAGATGATGCATTTCCGCTCTTTTTTCCGATGGTGAAAACCTTCTCCCACATTGCACACCCAATGGCGTTTCCAGGTGTCGTGTAATAGTTCTGAGCCTATGATCCCTTACACAGTGCTATAATCACTTACACCACTTATATGAATTTTCATATCAGTGCAACACTTAAGAGGATGCTCACTTAGCAATCCAAGGAGAAACCTACGACGACTGTAACAGTTCCTTTGAAGTAATTAGAAAACCAACCCCTTAATATGATATCCCACTTTAACTCTTTGTTTTTTCAATTAAAAGATTTATAAGTTGGATTCTGAGAGACCACCTTGAGGCAATAAAACCTCACGTCCTATTTAGAATCTCATAATAATCCAATCTTATTATACCATCGCAACTTCATGACCATAGCAAGTGTGAACGCAAAAAGTGTGTAAGGAGGTGTGACAAAAATTTTAGGGGAAAAAAAAAATGTTAGAGTCTCATATCAGAATTTAGAAAGTTTGTGTTGGTTCCTTCAAATGCTTATTGGTGATCAACCCAATCAACTTGAATCAATAAACATAGAAAAGGAGGGCAAACAATCATCGTTAAGAAATTCATAGTCAAAAGCGGATATCGTGAGCGCAATCAAAGGAAGCTTTTGTTAGCATTTGTACAATAAATTCAAATAATTTATATTGTAATTTTAGCAATTCATCATATTGGTCAATCACACATTATACTTATCAACACAAAAAACATTTACATATACACAAAGGATATAATAAAGTTTCATATCCCAAAACATAAGATTCCGAATAAGATTTAGTAAGGATAAGAAAAACACAAGACAATTCGAACTCGAGACTCAAAAACTAGAAGTGTTACCCCATCTCTAATCGGGAAAACCACAAGAAAAAGAAACACTTCACAACCATAGCTATAAACTCTCGACTTTAACAGTCTATTGTCCTCCTGTCATTAATCTTTCGTATCGTCACCTCGCTTAATCCAATTATGCACGTTAGGTTCGCCCGCATCCCCTAGTTTGCTGCAGTGATACCTTAGCTACGCACAATTGTTGCCAATTCGCCAAATATTTTCAATCCTCTCACTCTAGCACTTATACTTAGCTACCTGACCCTCTTCATCGCACCAAATCGTAAACATAATCGAAATAGATAATGTTGCGCTTTTAAATTTATTGTTGTTAGGATGCATTCGAGAAGGAAGGAGGATTAGCCAAGGACAAAGCGAAGGATTAATAGGAGGTGCCTTGCAAGTTGCACTCTCTAACCACGGCATAGGAGACGTAATCGCACTTCATCTACCAATTTGAGTTGTATCATATCGGCAAATGAAAATCAAGAGTAGGGGTCAAAGGAAGGAATGAAAAATACACTGGGAAAAACGGGTTGAATAAGTGCCAAGAAGGGATGAAGGTGAAGGGAAGCAATTAAGGTTATCGATAAAAAAATATAATTTTTACGGCCATAAGAGAGAATTGAGGCACAAAGTCGGAAACATCTGCAAGAAGTCACATACGTGCAAAAAAAACGAAGTTTAATTATGAGGGATGGTAAGGCAAAGTGGCAAGAAAATAGGAAGTTAATACTTAGAAACGTTGATTAAAACTCATTACCCAAAATACTAAAATAATTTTCCATAATAATTTTATATTGAACTCACACTGCCAACACTAACAAAAATTCAAAATCCAAACAATATTTTACAAAAATGGTAATGCAATAGCTTGAATGGAAATACTAAGTTATTACTAACTCAACCACATGTGTAACAAAACGCATGTCACATCATCCCATCTACGCTTATTCACTACGACATTTTTTTGCAAAAGAAAAAAAAATGGAGCCCTCATTGCAAATTGTATGATTATCCCTTTCGCACACAATAATTCCTTATATATATATATATGTTTTAACTCTAAAAAATTGGGGGCAATTCGTCGATCTCCCCCAACATAAGATATGAACTTTGTGCTTGACCCTTCACTTAGTTCATGCAAGAATTGTGCAAAACATATCTTAGCGCATCACACCCTTGTTTTATATCCCTCCTACACTGCTGAGACTCCATCCCATTAATCAGGTGCAATACATATTGGAACCCAAAGTTAGAACCCCAGACTCTGCTATACTATTCAATTATTATCTTCTTATTATCCAACTGTCAATTGTGAGATATCAAAATCATAATTATTAAATTGAGACGTTTTATTATCTAGTTTGAATATTTAATCTGGTTATTAGTTTTTATGAGTGTGGTGGTTGGTCGTCCAGTGACCACAAAACTTCATCTCATCTACAGTGGCAAAAATAGTGGTTAAGCAAATTTTTTTTTGACAACAACAGTCACAATGACCAAAATAACGCTATCACATTTATTAGGCAACGAATTGTTTAATTCTTCCAACCTAAAAACAAACAACTCCACTTCATGACACACAAATAGAACTTCTCCCTTTTCGAATTTCATATTTCACATAATTTAAAAGCATTCCAACTCCCGACCTTGCAAGACTTTGTTAGGCTGAATAACTCATATCATAATATAGTGGTGCGTTTTTAAGTCTCTTTGTGGGGCAGTAAACCTCCTGTACATGCAAGTTGTCGCTCGGGATGTGGGGTGTGCTTCCTTTTTCTTTTCGTGATTTTTCGCCATAATGTTTTTCCTCTTTGGTCATCTATACATTTTAATTGTCCCAACGGTCATTGTTTTCTATATGTAGTTGACCATCATTTTTTATTTTTTAATTTTTTGGGGGGGAACTCTTTTTTTCACTCTCCTTTTACTTTATTTATGTTGTACAATTATTCCCATTGTTTTCTTTGTTGCTATTATTTTTCAAGAAAAATGCTCATGGGTGGTGTCTTTAGTTTCTATATGGTTTTTATTTGGTTCCACAATTTGTTTACTGTCGAGGGATGCAATGTTATCCACTGCTCCTAACTGCAGTCCAGTGATGCAGTTGGCTTGACCACTTATGCATGAGATTTTATATCCACGTCCCTTTATTTGGTTCTACAATTTGTTTACTGTCGAGGGATGCAATGTCATCCACTGCTCCTAACCTCAGTCCAGTGCTGCAGTTGGTTTGACCACTTATGTATGAAATTCTATATCCACATCCCCTTGCGATCGTGCGTGTCTATCCATCCTTTTTTAACAGAGTATCGCCATGAGGTCCGATTTTGGACAAGATTCTATATCCACGTGGCTTTGTGATCATGCCTGCCTGCGTATCCTCTTTGCATGAAGTAGCGCTATAAGGTCCGATTTTGAAGCTTCATCTGAGAGTCTAACTAGACTGCTTTGACACCGGTTAGTTGTGCCTACTTCCCTTGCCAGTTGCTTTGCCACTGCAACCTGTTGCCCTCTGGCTCACATTAGTAGTGTCTAATACCTAAGAATGTTTGGTCAGACCCTGCTAATGATGATCGTGTGTGCTAATGGTTATCGCCGGGTGGTGAAACACCAATAATTTCAAAGTACAATGTTATAAGAGGGCAAGTGGCCATGGTGTCCTAAATGCAACTTATGTGCATTATCCGATGAGCTAGGTGCATTGACCATTTCTTTTTTTCCCTTTTTTCTTATTTTGAATAAATTTGTTACGCACAACTTTTTTTTAGTTTATTTGAGGCATGCCTTAATTTTCTGATATGCATGGCATGCCCTCAGACTGAAATTTGTGTCTAGTGTAGTGACCCTTGTGTTGTTTGGACTGAAGAAGGAGATGAATAAGAAGATGAAAAAGAAGGAAAGAAGAACAAGAAGAAGAAGGAGAAGGAAAAGAAGAAGAAGAAGAAGAAGGAGAAGGAAAAGAAGAAGAAGAAGAACGAGGAGGAGGAGGAGGAGGAGGAGGAGGAGAACCGAGAAGAAGAAGAAGAAGAAGAAGAAGAAGAAGAAGAAAAAGAAGAAGAAGAAGAAAAAGAAGAAGAAAAAAAAATAAAAAAAAAATGAAATTGAATTGAAATAGCGAGGCCAATCACTATGCGTCCATGCTTTCAGCGATAAGCGATGAAATTCCTACACGAACATTGTGCTCAAACACGCACATTCCCCGACGCGTTTCGCCTAGCTGCGCACCAGGACTTATCAAGGGGCAACCACAAGAAGAAGAAGAAGAAGAAGAAGAAGAAGAAGAAGAAGGAGGGGGAGGGGGAGGGGGAGGGGGAGTAGGAGAAGAAGGAGGAGGAGGAGAAGAAGAACCAGAAGAAGAAGAAGAAGAAGAAGAAGAAGAAGAAGAAGAAGAAGAGGAGGAGGAGGAAGAAGAAGAAGAAGAAGAAGAAGAAGAAGAAGAAGAAGAAGAAGAAGAAGAAGAAGAAGAAGAAGAAAAGAAGAAAAAGAAGAAGGTGGTGAGCAAAACAGGATGGGGGTAACAAAAATGTAGAACAATAGAGAGGTGGCAACCAACTTGATGGGATAGTGGTATGAGTCTGAAGAGTGGATGAATACGTTTGGAGTAGCATGCAGCAGCAATGGCTCACACTGTAGATGTGGGAAAGCTGGAGCCAATACCAGCTTGAGTTTAAATTTCAGAATACCGATTTGAGGTTGGATTGAGGTGACCCTGATTGGCAGATTTGAAAACTAGAAAGGGGGAACTTCAGTAGAGTCACAAAAACGAGTTATAATTGCACTATGGGGCAAGATACAGTTTGCAATTGCACTTCGGGCACCCTACCCCTGGCCAGAAAGCTGGGTTGTATACATTGCCCGAACTGCATTTCGAAACTGTATCTTGGCCCATAGTGTAATTATAACTCTTTTTTGTGACTCCCACCTAGTTTCCCAAACAAGGGATGATGAGGTGGGCGTGACTCTGTCTCTTATACACATCTAGATGTGTATAAGAGACAGCTCTGGCACAAAGCTTTTGACCGAGTTAACTGGTCCTTTGTACTAGCTACCATAGAACATACAAATTTTGGGTTTTCATTCAGAAGCTAGGTATCAGCAATGTACAAATGTTCCACAACTTCGGTTCTTGTGAATGGTAAACGCTCTCGGATCTTCGCACTGTCAAGGTCTTTACGACAGGGGTGCCCTTTGGCCCTGCTGACGTTTGTACTCCAGATCGAGGTAGCCCTTAATACAATGCGTGCATCCCCCCGGATCTTCGCACTGTCAAGGTCTTTACGACAGGGGTGCCCTTTGGCCCCGCTGCTGTTTGTACTCAAGATCGAGGTAGCCCTTAATGCAATGCGTGCGTCCCCCTTGATCCGAGGGCTGCAACTGAGAGGCCCCAAGGAGTTACGCACTGGAGCCATTGCTGATGATCTGATGCTGGTATCTGAAGCGACGCCAGAGTCCATGAATGCAGCCAGGACCATCCTCGACCAGTACTCCACATTGTCTGAAGCCAAGGTTAACTGGGATAAATCGGTCTATTTTTTACCCGAAGAGTTCGATCTAGAAGATGATTGGACTATGAAAAGGGTGAAGGAGACAGAGTCGGAGAGGTACTTGGGAGTGCAAGTCTCTCTTACAAATGGTCGCCTAGCGCAAGAAGCCATCTTAACTGCTAAAGTAGAAGCCAGAGCGAAGAGATGTCACTCAACTTTGGGACTTTCCTTGATGGGCAGAGCGACTGTCATCTCGACATCCATCTTCTCGTTGATATGGCACATCGCGACAGTTATCCTTATCTCAAGATGCACTCTGCAGAAAATCCGAAGAGCAGCGGCCCAGTACCTATGGAAACCAGAAGGAAAGGAAGGGGAAGGCTTCATCTCTAAAGTAGCGTGGGACAAAGTTACTCTACCAAAGAGGGAAGGTGGACTAGGGATCATAGACCCTGAGAAGCAAAACGTGGCTCTTCTGGGCAAATGGATTCAAAAGGCATGCACTCAGTCCGACCGACGTAGCTGGGTATCAGTGGTGGAGTATGTGCTGCAACAGGAATTCAAGTTAAAAAGGAGTGAGGATGTGTGGACCTGTCTGCAACTCCCCTCCTTTTTAAACCGAAGGCCCAAGTCAAGCATTGTCGCAGAATGGTGGATAGCCTGGAAGAAGCTGAGATCGGCAACAAGAGAAGCACCATCAACTCGCGAAGATGTCCTCGGACAGCCACTCTTCGAAAATACAGCAATTATTCAAGCCGATGGGTCTTGGTTCTCTGCCGCAGGGCAACCAGGCAACTTTGGTAGACTATGGGTGGAGAAAGGAATCTCGAAGGTTGCAGACATCTGGTCGGATGACACGAGAGAGTGGAAATCAGATGGGGAGCTACGAAGGGAGCTACGAAGAGTGCGAGGACTGAGTGACAAGCTGGAGAGGTTAACTGAAGCAATTCCCAAAGAGTGGGAAAGACTTCTCAGAGAGGGAGCTCGGCCCCAAGTGGGAGGGTGGTACAAAAAGCCCCACAACGGAACGCAGCAACACAGGCTACTCAAGGTAGAAGAGGAGCTGGAAGCAGGAAAGTGGAAGGTTTCGAAATGGGCAGCAGAGAAAGAGTCGGGCAATGGACAGAAATTGCACCTCATCCGGGAGATGTCATCAAACATGGACCATCAGCTAACAGCAGTGAGAGTAATAAGGTCAACAGACACCAGCAGGAGCAGGAACAGTGTCTTCACTCTAATCCAAGCGGGAACAACAGTTCAAAACCTTAGGCTAGATCCACAATGTACCGCGTGGCACTTACAATCTGGGGAATCCAGATGCCTGGCGCTATACGATACTAGTATAGGAAGAGCCCTGCAGGCCACGAGCCGAATGGAAGAAATCAGAGATCGTATAGCACGGGAATTGAACTTACCAGCCCCCCCCTCAAGTACGGAGATGAAGACAATCTGGATGCAACTCTCTGTCCTTCCAAGTCTGAAGCTTTCAAGTCTTCTCTGGCTGCTCACACACTCAGCAATTCCAACAGCTAAATGGTTGTCGAACAAAGGAATGGAGGTCCAAGTTACATGCGGTCGTTGCGGCCACAGACAGGATGAAACACTTATCCATCTGGTTTGGGATTGCCCAGCTTCGAAAAGAATCTGGCAATGGTGGGAATCACACTGGCAGAGGATGGGATCAAGCCTACAGTGGAACCAAGTCTGGGTAACTACCGGTCGTCTCCCGCCACTGTTCTTCAGTAAAAAAGGGTGGGGCTATGTGGCCCAGGCTATCAGATCTGCCATCTTGTGGGTAATCTGGGAAGATAGGAATAATATCCTATTCAGGGGAGAATGGTGTCCGGATACAGGGGTTAAAACAAAGGTGAAACTCCTCATACGAACAATGATTGCGGCAGACTGGGCAAGAAAGGCAGATCTGGGAAGATCACAGAAAGGAAGGCAATGGTTCCTGTTTTCTTGGGCAAGGGGAAACCAGTTAGCAGCTGTAACGGTAGAAGGAAAGCTAGTTATTTCCCCCTGGTTGTCGATTTAGTAAGGGAGTGGGTAGGCAGACATGTTCCTGGGGTAAGAGGTAAGAGGGAAGAAGAGGGAGGTGTGAGAGGGGTGACTTGGGTTTGGGAGTAGTATGTGAGTAGCAGTAGTTAGATGGGAAGGGATTAGAGGCTGGAGGTGGAACATTACCTGTCCTCTCGGTTTGGGACTCCCGCAGGAGGGAGATTGGTCACCTAAGTTAAAATCGGGTGCCAAACAGAGGTTGTAGGTAGAAACTGAGCCGACACAGGCTCAGGGGGCCGGATAGGCTCTGTGTTTGTATACAGTGTAGGAGGGTTAGGGGGTCTAGTTTAGAGTGGCCTAGGGCAGATTCTTTTTTATGCGAAGGGAATGTGAGACAATGAGTTCTGCAATATGATAATTCTCCCACCTCTGGAGGAATATATAAGAAGCTAAACCGGCTGATGCTGCCGGGATAACTCCGGGTTGAATTGTGAGGTCCCCGGCCTCGTGACAAATGTGTTCTTTGGGAATATATAAAGCAAGTGTTCTTTTAAAAAAAAAACAAAAACAAAAAAGACTTGGCAAACGGTCCATGGAGGCTGAGGGGGGTACCTTGCCAATTTCGCTGTGTCCATCAGGGCATTTTTGCAAAGTTATCCATATAACAAGGGCCTGCTGGAAATATCAGATAATCGAAGGGAATTCTGAAATAAACCGAAAATGCACCCGTAAAATTTATATTCCGTTGTTCAATTTTTTTGTTTGTTATTTCTCACCCCCGGTTTCTGCCATTGTCTCTGTAGAGTGCGTCTCCTTGTTCCAGGATTCCTGGTCGGCCACGTGCATGGTGTAGTTGTTTTCTCTCTTTTACCATTTTTCTTTTCTCGTTTTCGGCTGTCGTTTCATTGTAAGTGCACCCCATAAAATACGCCACGTTGCTCGCACATTTAGAAATCGATCAAGATCAAGATCAACGGTGATGAAGGTGAGTTAGGACATGTCCCATCTTCCACAGCAGAAAAACCCTGTTAGACTATAGAGACGGTGGACCCGAGTCTTTTGTGTGTGTGTGTGTGTGTGTGTGTGTGTGTGTGTGTGTGTGTGAGAGAGAGAGAGAGAGAGAGAGAGAGAGAGAGAGAGAGAGAGAGAGAGAGAGATTATTTTTGACCCCTTTTGTCTGACGCAAAAAGAGAAATTTGGCTTGCTGCAAAATGCTTGCTGTCCAGGACCCCTTTTTTTTTTTTTTTTTTTTGACAATCGCTCTTGAGCTTCCCAGTTGCGGTTGACGAAAAGGGAAAAACAAAACAAGGGTGCACTTCCGTCCTCTCTCTCTCTCTCTCTCTCTCTCTCTCTCTCTCTCTCTNCTCTCTCTCTCTCTCTCTCTCTCTCTCTCTCTCTCTCTCTCTCTCTCTCTCTCTCTCTCTCTCTCTCTCTCTCTCTCTCTCTCTCTCCCCGATCTTTTCTTTCTCTCGCGGAAAGGGGCTCTTCGTTTGCAGCCCTGTCATAGGGTTTAGCTGGTCGGCGGTATACAGACATAGACATGTCTCCTTTCAAAAAGTGATTCCGATTTCCTTGCCCACCTTCAGTGAAAATTTATTCCCGGCCTCAGATGATATGAAATACAATGCTATATTAGAAAAAAAAGGAAAAAAAAAAAAAGAAAGAATATAGATCAGTTAAAAGAAGAGGAAAACAAAAAAGAACCAATTACCCGCCCATGTTTTCACGTGCCAATATGGGACGTGGCAGAGGCACAGCCTGCCACGTATGAAGTAGAGTCTATCACTGCTGATTCCCCCCCAGCTTCGTCTTTTCCACGCCTGAATGGGCCTCGCTCCACTACTCTCGACATGTGCAAATCGAGAGTGAATCTTCCACTAGAACATGGAAAGATACACCGCCTTGATTTTTGTCTTTTTATGCATTTGGTGAGTGGTAGTGGTGCGAGGCCCAATGTCGCTAATTAAAAAAATAAAAATAAAAAAAATGTAGGTCTTCTTGAAAGTCTCCTATTGGGCCTCGCTCCACTACTCTTGACATGCACAAAAGACAAAAAAATCATGGCGCTGTATAGTTCCATGTTCTAGCAGAAGATTCACTCTCATTTTGCACATTTCGAGAATAGTGGAGCCGCGAGGCCTATCCATTTGCCTTGGCCATCACGCGGGAAGAGCTGTCATTCCTTGTTTTAACCCCCCCTCAATTACTCCCCCTTCAATTAACCCCCCCTCCATTACCCCCCCTTCAATTAACCCCCTCTCACTCATTGGGCGGCCTCGCTCCACCACTCACCCAATGCCTGCCCAAATGGAGAATGAATGTTCCGCTAGAACATGGGAAAATACACGGCGATAATTTTTTGTCTTTTGAGGATGTGCTGAGTGGTAAAGCGCGGCGCTTTATCTATGGGTATAGATATAGTTGGCCTTGCTCCACTACTGCTCGCCTTGCCAAATGTGTAAAATATGCCGAACGCATCTGTCCAGTTTTCATGGAAAGATACACGCGCCACCACTTGTCAGACGGTTTGAAAGCGCAGTGGATCGAGGCCCAAAATTTTTCCTCATTATCGGTAGCGGCTGCACAAAGAGAAGCAGGAGGGGGGAAAACAAAACAAAAAAAAAAAAAAAAAAAGAAGAAGAAGAAGAAGAAGAAGAATCAGGAGAGGGAACGACAGAGAGAGACACAGAAGATCAGCACAGCGGCTATTCCACCTTTAATGTAATTTTTTATCGCTTCCGAAAAAAAAAAAAAAAAAAAGAAGATGAGCACAGCAGACACATGGGAGAATGGCGATGGTGATGATTACCGACTACGTGTTTTCTTCTTCTTCTTTTTTTTTTTTTTTTTTTTTTTTTTTTTCGATTACGTTAATCGAAAGAAAAACGTCACAGATCACACCGATCTCAGACTGCTATGTCGGGGAGGTCAAGATGACATGGATGATCGCTCGCCGGTAATCACGGGCATGATGACGTCAATTAAGATCATGATGACAATATTAAATGGATGATGATCAGGTGCATGCTGACGTGGATGATTACCTGCATGATGGCTCCCTCTCTCCGAGCCTTCCCTGCTTCGTCAACCTTTCAGCAAAATTCTTTCTTTACTTAAAAAAAAAAAAAAAAAAGAGCACTGCCGCATCTGTCGACCTTTCAGCAAAATTATTTCTTGAGTCTTGACTGTTAAAAAAAAAAAAAAAAAAAACCAATTGCAAGAACACGGCCACGTCCGCTCCCACGTGGATGATGTAACTGTCGATGTGGCAGTGGAGATGTGAGCTTCTTTTCCTTCGTATCTGAGCTAGGCTACCACCTGGGCCGCCCGTGTCACCTTGTTTGCCCGGGCGGCCCGGCCGTGCAAGGGCCAAAAAAGGTCCCAGCAAAAAAAAACAAAAAACAAAAAACAAAACGAAAATCCAAAAAATCTGAAAAAAAGTTATGTTACGCAGAAAAATACACTGAACAACGTTGGCCTCAGGGTCACATGACTCACGTCGAAATTCTTTACCAAGTTTAAAAGAGCAAATAAAGTTATTATTATTACTATTATTTTTGTTAAGTTTTTTTTTGTTTGTTTTTTTCGCACGGGCGGGCCACTCTCTGGTAACCTAGTATCTGAGTTAAAAAAGAAGAGCTTTTCGTATCTGATTAAAAAAAAAAAAGAGCTGCTTTTTCTTCGCATCCGAGTAAAAAAAAATAAATTAAAAATGAAAAAGGACTACGTGTTCTGCAAGCTCATATCTCCACTGCCACATCGACACGTTCAGCATCCACGTGGGAGCGGACGTGGCCGTGTTCTTGCAAAAGTATTTATTATTATTTTTTTTAACAGTCAACAAATATTTCTGCTGATTGGTCGACAGATGTGGCAGTGCTCTGGTGATTTTTTTTTTTAACATTTTTTTTTTAACAGTCAAGAAATAATTTTGCTGCAAGGTTGACGAAGCAAGGGATTATCATGCTGAAGGGTTGACGAAGAAATGCCACGTGCATGCACACGTGGCACGGCCAGGTGAAGGAATCTGGTCACAAAAACGCAACCACGAACATTCAGAGGAACGACACCCGATCTATTACCTGTTATGATCCCGCCCAATTCTTGATGCGAAACTCGCGCAATCCTCAACCCTTCAGCAAAATTCTTTCATCCACGTCAGCATGCACGTGATCAATCATCATCCATTCAATCTTGTCATCATGATTTTTTTTAGTATTGACGTAATCATGCACGTGATTACCATGTCATCCTGACCTCCGCGACATGGCAGTCTGAGAGCGGTGTGATCATTACGTTTTTCTTGCTCTAGACAACGTATAGAGCCATCATGCAGGTAATCATCCACGTCATGTCATGATGACGTGGATGATTACCTGCATGATATCTACACATATGTATATATGGTCTACGACTATATATCGTCAAACAGAGCTGGACGGTTTAGGGTTTAGGCAGAGAGGGTGAAGAAGACAACAAACGAGGGGCTGTTACTATATATATCGTCAAATAGAACTGCCCGGTAAACCGTAGGCAGAGAGGGAGAAGAGGACAACAAACGAGGGGCTGTGACAAACTGTTTCGTCGGAGTTTCACCGACTCATCAGGAGGCTGAACCCTCAACAGTCTGTAGAATCCCCTCACTGATTACACTGTAAGTGATAATCCACCTTAACCAAAATCAAAGTAGACTATCACTCACCCACACCAGATGGAAAACTCTACAGACTGTCGGTTCACACCCCATCACAAGCCAGCAAAACACCCACGAAACAAAGAAAGGTCTGTCACAGCCAAAAAGTACACTCCAGACACGCCGCTGGCACTAGAGGCACAGCATGGCCGCGTAGTGACGGCCCCGACCACTGCCGCTCGACCTGTATATGTGTGTGTGTGTGTGTGTGTGTGTGTGTGTGTGTGTATGTCTGAAAAGCGTCCTTCCCTCCAGAATCGCCTAGCCTCCTCGCTTCTTTCCTGCTCTTCTCTTCTTCCTTTGCATGTACAGGGCATGAACATGGAGATGGGGAGAGAGGGATTTGTACATTCAAAATTAATTTGGTAGATTATCCCAGTCCTGGCAATCTCAGCTACTGCGGGGGAAGGGAGACGAATCGGTCTTTTGTTTTCCTCTGTCGCTAGAAAGCGATTGATTAGCTGTTTCTATGACTGTATAACTCGATCGCGGATAGAGGGAACCGAAAGTGGGCGTTTGGGTTGCATTGAGAGAGAGAGAGAGAGAGAGAGAGAGAGAGAGAGAGAGAGAGAGAGAGAGAGAGAGAGAGAGAGAGAGAGAGAGAGAGAGGTTATGCCAAATCATAATCGCAAAATATTAAAATGCTTATAATAAAAGAGTGCACACACACACCCTTTTTGTTGCAAGACAAGAATCACCCACCACACTAGGCCCTCGCTGAGAAAGTGGAGAACGGAAGGAAGGAGTAGTTAGGGTTACAGGTCCGAAGTTTTTTTTCTTTTTTTAAAGAACGGGTTCGAACTTCTATGTTGGGTTTACCCTGCATTTCATTTCACCACACTCACTACCGTCTTCACCCGAATAGAACGCCCGGTCATTATAGCTGCATTTGGCCCACCTTTCAGTCCAGATGCAGCAATAATGACCGGGCGTTCTATTCGGGTGAAGACGGTAGGCCCTCGCTGAGAAAGTAGAGCACGAAAGACAGACATGATTTGTGTGAAATGAAATGCAGGGTAAACCCAAAATAGAAGATGTTTGGTTGATTTGATTGGTTTGATCGGTTGGTTGATTGGTTGGTGGGTGGGTGGGTTGATTGGTTGGTTGGTTGGCTTGATTGGCTGGTTTGATTTTTTGGTTGATGGATCAACAGGGATGATGTTGCTGAAATGAATGCAGAGTAAACGAAACACAGAAGATGGTTGGTTTGTTGGTTTTTCTTTTATTTGTTGAATATTTGATTGGTTTGCTTGATTGGTTTGCTTGATTGGTTTGCTTGATTGGTTTGCTTGATTGGTTTGCTTGATTGGTTGGTTAGGTGGATCATGCTCACCCTCTGCAACCTCCGGCACAGACCCCCATATGCTGAAACATCCATGACAAGGAAATGGGCATTTGGGGGGGAGGGGGAGGGTGAATGGCATTTTGGGATCAAAAAAATGGCACAATGTGATTGAAAAATGGCACTGCGACAAGAAATGATATTCCAGGACGAAAACAATGGCATTTTGGGACCGAAGCAATGGCTTTTCAGGACCAAAACAATTGCATCGTGGCCCAAAAAATGGCAATGGGGCCAAAAAATGGAAATGGGGCCAAAAAATGGCGTTTGGGGGCCAAAAAAATGGCAGCTTGGGACCAAAAAATGGTATTTTGAGATCAAAATGGCATTTTGGGCCAAATTAATGACATTTTGCGATGGAAAAATAATATCTTGGTTAGCGGAAGGAAATGAGAGGACAGAAGAGGAGAGAGGATCCACCAGAGGAGGGTATAGGAATTGAAAGTGCTTGCATTTGGATGACTACTTGGTAAACGCAACCTTTGGATTGCACTTTTTTATTCAAAACCAAAGTGCGTGACTTGAGTAATTTCAAATTCCTCTTTTTTTGTTATTGGATAAGATAAAATGACAATCATAACACCTGTGTCATCCAATACATGCAAACTCCCTCCATGTTACAAAATAAGAATTAAAAAAAAAAAAAAAGAATCTTTGGTGCAGAAGGTTTTCAAACAGATAGAAACTGAGAAGCAAGGTGAGTGTGGGGATTTCCCACTCAACTCCACACAAACTTGGGGGACCTTGCACATAGTGAAAAATAATAAAAAAGTTGAAAAAACAAAGAAATAAATGAAAGAAAAAAGAAAATTAACTAATACAGTAAAGGGAGAAAAGAAGGGGGAAAAGGTTCGAAAAACAAAAGCTTGCCTTTTTTCTTCTGCGCATTTTGCTCGCGCTGTTTGTTACGAATTTCAAACGTACTCCTAATTTTCTTTCTATTTGGAAACATTAAAAATTGATGTTTGCTGTGCAGGTGAACCTGCGTTGGGCCCATCGTCTCCACTCCTTAACCATGTCGATCCTTTTCTTATCCATTTCGATCCTGCCTTATCCGGTGTGATAGTTGTAAAGTAAGAAAAAAAGGAAAGTTTTTTTTAAAGGCTGATGTTCATTGTGAGAATGTGGTACGTCAAGATTCATTCTACCTTATATATATATATATATGTCTGGAGTGTATATATATGTCTGGAGTGTATTTTTGGCTGTGACAGACCTTTCTTTGTTTCGTGGATGTTTTGCTGGCTTGTGATGGGGTGTGAACCGACAGTCTGTAAAGTTTTCCATCTGGTGTGGGTGAGTGATAGTCTACTTTGATTTTGGTTAAGGTAGATTATCATTTACA